GAATCACATCTTTCCATGTAAGGAATGAATCTTCCTTTCCACGCAAGGAAACACTTTTCGTCTTGATTTGTCCACGTCAGGACTACGTCTTCTCTGCTGAGGAAATAGAACTTGTCCACGTCAGGACTCACGCTTCGTCTTAATTCGTCCACGTCAGGACTCACCTCTTGACTTGCTGAGGAAATAAAATTTGTCCCCGTCAGGACTCACATCTCAACCTGCTGAAGAAAAAACTGGTCCACGTCAGGACTTGCGCGTCTTCGACTTGCTGGGGAAATAAAACTCGTCCACGTCAGGACACACACTTCGCCAACAACACGAAGAAGGATAAATTTGTCCACGTCAGGACTCGCGCATCTTGTCAACACGAAGAACTATAAACTTGTCCACGTCAGGACGCACCTTTCACCATTACGAAGAAAGATATCTGCTGGAAATAAATTGTCCACGTCAGGACACCAACACGAAGAGTAATCAACTTTGTCCACGTCAGGACTTCACATTCCACCAATACTGAGAAACCAAACCTGTCCACGTTAGGACCAACACGTATCGTCAACTTGAGGAAATGAAACTGTCCACGTTAGGACCCCCACTTCTCTAGCACGAAGAAAATCTGTCAATAAAATTGTCCACGTCAGGACTCATTTTTCCACTGGTCCCGACCCACAAACTTCTTAGCACTGACGTGACAGTAACTTCGAGGTGGACTCTACTGGGGATATTTGGAAACCAAGCTACCGGACGCCTGTTCTGATAACCGGCGGCAGCCTCTGAAATTCTGATTCACGAAACCCTTTGATGACACATAACTCTGCTTGGGGCCAAAGAGAAATTCATCATGATAACTCTGTGGGGAATAATGCCAAAATGACATTTTCGTTGAATGTCTCACGCCGAGATCTTGAATGTTTTGGTAATTCACTTGAGCAAGGGCTCTCTCTACCTGTAAGAGAAACAATACTTGAAACAAACGGTTAGCCAACCTGGTTTATGCTTCAAAAATGCGTATGTTTGATAATGACGCAATGCTCCAATCGACATGGAAATGCTACGCGTGTTTATTTGGTGGATGCAAATATGACCCCATATGCCGATGCAAATGCAGACTCGAACTGCTGGGATACAGGAACTGCTTCAGCAAAATAAATGCTGAAGACAATGCCGACTCCGCTGGGGATAGCCAGGTGCTGCAGAATTATTCCAGCAAAATAAATGCTGGAAGAGTGAAGTCAACCCTGCTGGGGAATATAACTCAGCTGGGGAATAGCAGATGCTTCTGGTATCATTGGACTTCTGCTGGCGAGTGAACTGATATCACACGGTATTCTGACAAAATAAATGCCAGGGCGCAACCAACTCTGCCGGGGAGAGTCTTAATCTTCGATTTTCACTGGAAGGAAAGCACTTGCTGAAAAGAGAACTCCACTGGGGATGGGACGATTCTCTTGGGAAAAATCAACTGACCCCGCTGGGGGAGAGTAAATGACCCTGCGGGGAAAAGTAAACTGCCTGAATACAGCTCACCAATTGGAAATATTAATCTTCTGAGGCTAAACCACTCTGCTTGAGATGCACTGTCTGAATACAGTCTACAATCTTGGAATCGCCAAATTTTGCTAAGGATAGACGACTTTGCTGGAGAATCCCCTTTGGATAAGCTACGACTAGTTGGGGAATTTGATCCTTCTTCAGTAAGGAGCATTGCTATCTCAGAAGTGCGACCTGCATGGGGATCGAGCCTCGTTACGAGCTTCTTTTGATCGTCCTCTTCATACGGCTATGAACCCTGCAACACCACAAACAAGACAAGACAAGTCTACGCAACCAAATCTATTCAGGTTAGAGTTAGTGACATTATTTTCAGTTAATTCAAAGTCTTAGCAATTGTTGGCAAGGGCCAGTGACGTTATGCACATGCTAGTTTCATCAAACCTAGGCGTTTTATCATGCACAAAATAGTAAAGAACCAGCATCAAATACTGAATAACATGTTTTATTGATTGGGCCCCTAAATAGGCGGAGTTTTGTACACGGAATGTAACTCCTGAAAAGAGGAAGCTACACATGACAAATATACAGGTATGCACAAGAAGCATAAATATAATGATAAATCAAATTTGCGCATGTCGGCAACGAGATGCAGACGAACATCACGAACTGATCCTACTATGACTCGCCCGACTCCAATGCTTTTCCCGGTATTCACACTTCCGAAGCGATTGTATCTGATAGTTGACCACACGAGTATATTCTCCCGCACCAATGCTCAATGCAGTATCAAATTCGGACCGCAGTCATTTGCTTTTCAAATCCCTAACTTTTGCGTGAACCGCCCTTTATGGGTTTTCAGTTCACCGGGATACCCTTTTTTGCCGAAGCCGCCCAGTGTAGGTTTTCAACTTCGCGGGTGTACATTTTTTCAATTTATCCCTAACTTTTGCCCAAACCTTTCATTCTGTTTTTGGTTCGCCAGGATGCCCCATTTTGGCCTGGACTCTCTTTTTTTGTCCAGTGGGTCAATTTCAAGCAAAGTATTTTTTAACTGCGTCCGAATTCACAGGCGACGTAAAGTCTTCACCGTCCATGGTGGACAACAATAAAGCTCCTCCTGAAAAGACTTTTCTGACAACGTATGGCCCTTCGTAGTTGGGGGTCCACTTGCCCCTGTGATCTGCCTACGGCGGGAGAATCCTTTTCAGCACAAGGTCGCCCGTTTGAAAGCTCCGAGGATGTATCTTCTTATCATATGCTTTCTTCATCCGGCTCTGGTACAAACGACCGTATGCTAGAGAAGCTAGCCTCTTCTCATCCATTAAGCTCAGCTGGTCCAACCTGTCTTTCACCCATTCTACCTCATCTAGTTGAACATCTCGCAATACCCTCAGAGAAGGAATCTCGACTTCCAGTGGTAGCACAGCCTCCATTCCGTATACCAATGAGAATGGGGTGGCCCCGGTTGATGTGCGTACCGTCGTACGATAACCGTGCAAAGCGAAAGGTAGCATCTCATGCCAATCCTCGTAGGTCACCACCATCTTTTGAACGATCTTCTTTATATTCTTATTGGCCGCTTCAACAGCGCCATTCATCTTGGGTCGGTAAGGGGAGGAGTTGTGATGTTCGATCTTGAAATTCTGACAGAGCTCCTTCATCATTTTGTTGTTCAGGTTTGAACCGTTGTCAGTGATTATCCGCTCGGGGATCCCATATCTGCAAATGATATCTCTCTTAATGAATCTGGATACCACCTGCTTAGTCACATTTGCGTAAGACGCCGCTTCCACCCACTTGGTGAAATAATCGATTGCTACGAGAATGAACCGGTGTCCGTTAGAAGCCGTCAGCTCGATCTTTCCAATCATATCGATTCCCCACATCGAGAATGGCCATGGCGATGACATCACATTCAGAGGACTCGGAGGCACATGGATCTTATCAGCATAGATTTGGCACTTGTGGCACTTCCTCGCAAACTTGAAACAATTAGTTTCCATAGTCAGCCAAAAATAACCTGCCCGCAGCAGCTTCCTTGTCATAGCATGCCCACCAGCATGCGTACCAAACGTACCTTCATGTATTTCCTCCATGAGCAGCTTTGCCTCTTTTTCATCCACACAACGTAGCAGCACCAAGTCGTGATTTCTTCTGTATAAGACACCATCCGGATTCAAATAGAAATTACCCGCTAATCTCCTGACACTACAAGAAAAAAGGAGATTTACGACACTTGAGTTGCGATAGTTATCACAAAACCTTCCTTATTCCTGGATTGCGACGGTTGTCACGACAGTTAGGGTCAACTGTCGTAGATTTTTTGCGACAGTTATCAAAAAACCGTCCTTATTTCTGAACTACGACAGTTCTCACAACGGTTTGAGCCAACCGTCGCAGATTTTTTAGGCATGTTGTATAAAATAATTGCAACAGTTACTAAAGAACCGCCCTCTTTCCACACTTGCGACAATTAAGGCGAACTGTCGCAATCATTTTAGCCAATCATAATCATTATTTTTTTTATTCCTTTAATTTTCCACTTTTTTCTTTCATTTTTATTTTCCAACCTTTTCAATTTTATTAATTAATTTAATAAATAATTATTATAATTATTATAATTTTCATGACAATGTAGCTTAATATTTTTGTTTCAAGCAACTTCATCGTCGACTACATACTCTTTTTTTCGACAGAGGCAGTTGGAAATAAATTTTGAGAGAAATTTTTAAGCTCTCCTTCATTCAAGCTCTTCAATGAACTAGATAGATTTTTATTTGAGTCCTTTTTTTGCTTCTTCTCCACCGTGAGGGACTGTGTCGGATTCTTCTCAAGCAGTCGGAGATTCACATTCATCCAGGATCATGGTTTCACTCTTACCCTCTTCTTTCAACTATTATCTGTTCTCTATATTGCGTGACATGATTTAGTTGAAACTATGTTCTCTTAATTAGAGGAAAGTGACTTTTATCATTTGATTAGGTTTATGTAGTAATTAGTATCTCATACTTGTTTAATAAAATAATTAAAAAAAAATATTATGATACTTCTAAAAACAAACACATATCCTCAATTTCTTCCTAAATTTAATTTAACTAAACCATTCTTTTTTTGTTATTATGAAATACTATGTTAAAGAAGAAACAAGGAGAAGAATAAAAATTGAAAACGGACAAAAAAAATTAAAACACCAAAACTGAGAGATCCTTCAACATATAGAAGTATATTAATGGGTCTGCGACAGTTGTAAGAGCTGCCTCCATATTTCTTCACACTTCAACTAGCGCTTATTTTTCACCATTCGGTCTTCTAATTTTTATTAATCCAGTTTCTGCTTCCCTTTTCTCCCCATAAACCCTATATTTCTCCCCAAGTCACAATCACACAATCTCAATATCTGTAATCGATTTTTGAAAATGATTTCTCCCCCAAATTGCATTATGTCAAGTCCTTCAATCTGTCATACTCTCTTGGATAAATGATGGAAAACACTCAGATTTGGTTTGATGTTACAAGATGAAAAATCCCCTATTACTTTCAATTTTCACCAGGTTTGTCAATTTTTTTAAATTTTTTATTTTTAATTCTTTTGACCTAAAAGCTTAGTTTTGGAATCAGTTGATGATTCCTTTATTTCTTTCCTTTTTTGTTGGAATTTGATTTTGCAGTTGCTGTTAAAGTTGGAAGACAACATATTGATTGAAACTGTTGGTATTTCGGTTGAAGATGATAAAGGTTCAGTTCACTCGACAACATGTGTCTCATCACAGGTGTTTGACTTACTCATCCTGAATCATAAAACAATGAGTTTTTTTGTTCTTTGTTGTAATGTTTGCATAGTTGATCAGGAAACTGATTTCTGTTTTATGTGATAATAGATGCTGATATTTTCCATTTTCTTTGTCATGGTCATATGTTATTTCAATTTAGGTAGGTTTCCCTCTACGATGCTCTTTTTGTGCAACAGGAAAATGGGGCTTTTCAAGGAATCTTTGGAGCCATGAAATTGTAGAGCAGGTTTGTGTCATACCCATTCGAGTCCATACATGCATTGAAAGCAGTTTGATGTTAGATTTCGCACTAGGGAAGCTTTGATTAATTTAAGCAGTTTTGGCCAATTTGTATTCTATTCATATGCTTAAATTAGTTCTTGAATATCTCAACTTTTTTGCAAATGTACTCTTTCAACTATGGTAATTCAGCATAAAGGTTAGTATTAGACGAGTTTGAATGTGTGAAAAATAAATACATTTGGGGTTTAATCTACACAAACAAACACTTGTAGCAACCGATGTTATATAAACTGGCAATTTTAGGAAATAAGTTAATTAACAACTTGTATTTATGTTATTGACCAAAATAGTTTATGGAAAGTTATTTTTTACCCACAACTTAACATTGAGAAATTAATATAACATAATAAAGGGTTCTTGGTTTCTAAAAGCTAAATGACTTAGTGAATCAGTAGGCAAAATATTCCCTTCAACTGTAAATCTTTTTTGAGGCAGTGCAGTTTGTGTGCATACTTCACATGTTTGTGTAAGTAACTTTTCTCTTTGTGAACTTGTTTCCTTTTCTTTAGCCTTGCAGATTAGTTAGGTTGCATATTTGTATTGAAATAATTGTTTCATAAAATGTAGGAATGGGTTGGCTGGCCACAACAGATTTATAAGGGTAATGCCAAATACACCTGTTGCAGTTGGCCAGGCGGTGTCAGGTATTACTAACTTTTGCTACACTTTAAGAATACATTTTGTTTTCTTCTTTAGATATTTTATTTATGTAGAATTTAGACCATGTGTAGTGTATTTATGTCAGATCACTTGGGTCCGTAGTTTACGTTCTGAATTCTAAATTGCCAGTTATAATTCATATTATTGCTTTTTGAGTGCAGATAGAATTGTTTAGTATAACTTTATCAAACTTCTAAATAAAAAAATCTGATTAACTAACAATGACAAATACATAAAGATTCATATACTTTTCCCCCTTGTTTGCTACTGTTCATCTGCTCCTGTCAGCTGTCTATTTCATCTTTATTGACAGGAATTTTCAATACTTTTTTGGCGTTGAAGATTGTCTAATAGAAGACTTATTTAATTTTAAGATAATCTAGTGTTCAGTTTGTTCTGGAGTCTATCCCTGCATTTTGAAGTAGACCAGTGTTTAATATTTGTATCATATGCTTTTCTAAAATTAACAGTGTGTACTATTGAGCATCTATATTGGTTACTATGAGATGAGATAATTGTTAATTATGGCTACAAGAGGGTGCTCATTCGTAAGTTATAGTCATACATCTGGGAATGATATTTTTGGGATACTATTATCAGCAATAATTTTCCAAAGTATGATATACCTTAAAATATTTAAAAATTGTAGTCACTTATACTAATAAGAAAATGGTAGAATGTGATGAAGGTGGGATGTTATAGTTTGTTAGATTTTAAAATGGTTTTGATTCTCCATGGGAGTATAAAATTCCACCCTTCGTGTTGTGATTGTAAAATAGAAAAGGCATAAACAAAATATATTCATGGGGTTCTATCATACATGGGATACATTTTTTCAACCTTTGAACCAAGCATGTGATGTTACATTCATCTCCTCAGACTTTATTGATTTTTTTTGTGTACATTGAAACAAATCCACTTTAAGATTTGGATTTTATGATTGAGGCTCTTTCATAATTTAGAAGTTACTTATGGTTTATGATAATAGTCTGTGATAGTGGTTTTGTTCTTCACTCTTATGAAGGGTGGAATGAGTCTCTGATGTATAAATTCATAGAAGTTTGATTTTGTAGTCTTGGCATTTGTTCCTTTTTTGTTTGGATGTATAAATTGTATGGGTAAATAATCTCAATTACGAAGAGTGCTTTCTTTCATAAATCACAAGATCAAGAATTCCTTCTCTTGTTCAATATGATAATTCTGTATAATATTGTGTTTTTCTAGTATACAATGGCTATTACTTATTGCATTTCTTTCCTTATCAATTTACATTGTTGACAATTACAAAGTTGTATTGTATGGATAAACTAACTTAAGCTAAATTATTATAGTTATGAGCTTGGGAGGAGCTGCAACAGAAGAAGATGCAAATCTTATATCCCAATTATTTGGGTCAATTGGAAAAATATGGAAAGTTGATGATAAGTTTTTTGATGCAATAATTGGTTTAAGGTGTGTAAATATCATTTTATAAAATGATAGAGTAATATTTGGGTACTATATCAAATCCCTAAGAAATTTCGTTTTATCTGTTATGGACAAAAACTCTGAAGTAAGAGATACTAGTTATGTCATGCCATTACAATTCTGACTTTTAGCCATTCACGTATTTGAGAGAACAAAATAAGAGTGTCTGGGATCTGAAAATGTCCTGTTTGGTGGTAATTGTCTTTTTTCTTCGTTTTGGCCATGTGTGTGTGTGAGAATTTGACTTATACCTACCACTACCCGATTCTATATTATTGCTGAAAACCCCAAGTTAAAGAAACATCATTTTATTTACTAAAATATGTTCTATTTTCCTAAATTGTTCAGTGGAAGTGGTCCTTCTTATATTTATTTACTAATAGAGGCTCTGGCTGATGGAGGAGTAGCAGTTGGTCTACCGCGTGATCTTGCATTAAGTCTAGCTTCTCAGGCTGTGAGTGAAATACTATTCTCTTGGCCATTTAATTGTGTCTCAAATTCGGGTGATGCTTGCTCTGGAACTGTCTTATACTCTTACCCATTTTGTCAAAATGTCAGATTTAAAGAAATGAATATTTGAGATGCATTAAATAAAAGTGTTCAAATTTGTCTTTTTTTAAACAGTTTTTAGAGTAAAATCATTTCAACATTCTATAGGAGGATATTCCTAGTTTGCTAAGATTAAAACTTGTCTTTTAAGTAAGTTGAAGAGGGTGAGTCTTGGCACAATAGTAAGATAACTGCCTTGTGATCTAGAATGTTGAAAATAATGGAAATAACCTCTCCCTTGCAAGAATCATATTGTGTATCTCTGCCCTTCTCAGACCCTACTTGGCGTGGGCCTCATGCCCTGTGTTGCCATTAAAATGCTTATAATGCTTTTATCATCTGTCTTGTGTAACTATCTGTGCTTGATAGAGGTATCCAACAGTGAATAAGGAATTAGATTCAAGTAGTTTCAGCGAAGTTCTTATGGTTACTAGGCAGAGTGAGCAAGCAACCTGTAAAATGAATCTAACCAATCTAGTTGACCTATATACCAGAAGATAGGCATATAGTAGAACTCCAGTGAAGACCAATTAATTAAAACATATAGTTACAGTTAATGAAATTGCTGTTGCTTGAATATGTGGCAGCATTAGCAAGAATCCTACTGGACTTAATGTTGTAGGGGTTAAACATCTCCAATACCTTACTGATATTGAAACACTTTTCTTCTTCCTATATATTTGTTCTCTTGATTAATATACTTGTGCTTTACATGTACTAGGATTAACATCAATGGCAACCCTTAGTGGGAAGCATCCAAGACAGCTTAAGCACGATGTCACTTCTCCTGGTGGGACAACAATTGCAGGCGTTCATGAGTTGGAAAAGGGGGAGTTTTCGTGGAACATTGATGAATGTTGTAATTTCTGCCGCTAAACGCAACCGAGAGCTTTCCTAAATCTAAGGTGAGGATCCTATAGCAGCCGAGAGCTTTCCTAAATCGGCAAGGATACTATTATTTCTAAGTAAAAAATTTGATTTCAATAGAGTTTTCTGCTTACATATAATATGTCAAAGTAGCCTTCTTTGAGATGAGTAGTAGTTGTGGAAATATTTAGTCTTAGAAACTTCTTTTATAAATGCTTACTAGTATAGACGATTTCAACCAAGTTGTAGCTCAAAATAACAGCCAGTCCTGCTTACATTGTTGCTTGCCGTATATATACTCACTATGTCAAAAGAAAATCGTTTTATCAGAATAATGCTTTTAAGTCCCACCATTTAGTTTGTTACTCATAACCTAGGCATTGAAGTTTAATTAAGTTGTATGTTAACTGTAGGTTGAGGATAATGTTAAGATTGATGAAATTGATAAGGAATTAGTGGCAGCTACTCAAGAGCATCAGTCTAGTGTTGATGCTTACAATACACAATTCGCAAATCCAAATAGTAATCAATTGGCTAATACATTAGCCCTAGGCATTTCCTCTCAAACTAGATGTTGTGCATGACCCACTTGAAGATTTAATGTTAGTGCAAAACCAATGCATAGAGCTTACTGCTCCTACTTCAACCAATTTGTGTGGCTCAACTTGTTGAATCACTTGTAGCTAATGAAAAAAAATTATGTTTATTAGTGAACATCAATTACGTTGAAGGTTTTGAACATGTATTTATGTTGCTAAAAGTATAAATGTTTTCTATGTAAAGTGATGTTGATTGAAAAAGTAAATTTGAGTATTGAATTGGACTGTGTTTCTAATTTGAAAATTTATGAATATTAGATTGATCTAAATTTATTTGTTTACCAATGAGTACAATTTTTTTCCAGGGATTGGAATCACCAGTTGATGGTAGCTGATGGTAGACGTTCATCTGAGTCTAGCTACCCATTTCCATAATGACATACTTTCTAGATTATGAACCTTCTTATTTATTTTTGGCATAATGATACTTATTGTTATAAGATTATGTTTTGATATATTTTCGGTTTTTTGTATTACATGACATGATTATGGAACTTTCACTTTACATGATTATGAAACTCACGTTTTTTTGATATTATAATGCTTATTTGATTTTAAATTTTGGAATTAATTTTACTGCATTAAAAAGTCATAGAAAATAAAATTAAAAATAATACTATAAATAAAAATATTATTGTATAAATAATTTAAAGAAAAAATAATATAACTATTTTAGTAGATAATAATTTAAATAAAAAAAATATATTATAAAACAATATAATACAATACATAAAAATTAATAATGATTTAAGCTGTTGCTAAATGTAAAAATTAAATAATTAGTTGTGCTTTAAACCGTTACCAAATAAATTATATTAAAAATTTTATAAAATCAAATTATGACGATTTGAACCGTCAAGATATCATATTCACGATAGTTTTAAACCGTCACAATCAACAATGGTGACAAAAATCAAAAGGATATTCACGACAGTATTTAACTGTTGCCATTTCCAGTTTATGTCAGTTCCAACCAGTCGTGAAATAGAATTCACGACAGTTTTAAACCGTCACAATCAATAATGAAAACAAAAATCAAAAGGCTAGTAACGACGGTCTTTAACCGTCGCCATCTCTAGTTTATGTCAGTTCCAGCCCGTCGTGAAATATAATGATGGTTGGTGTGACGGTTTTGGCAATCGTCGCTAAACATCCTGGGGACACACGTTTCTGTGACGGTATTATGACCGTCGTAGAATGTAATTAATGGTGGTTTTAACCGTCGTAACCTGTCAAAATAACCGTCGCAATCCATTAATTTTCTTGTAGTGTGAGAGTCTTCTGATCTTGACTGGATGCCCCAGCCGGATACTCTTTATTCTTCAGGAAATTCTGGATATCGAAATACCACGGTTTATCATCGGATGCTTCGTCAATAGCAAAGACAAAGGCAGGTCTGTCAAGTCGAGAGATAACAATGCTGGGAGCCTCGTTCCAGAAGTTGACTTTGTACATGGAAGACAAAGTGGCCAGGGCATCAGCCATTTGATTCTCTGCTCGCGGTACATGATGCAATTCAACCTTGTCAAAGAAAGGCAACAATCTCCTCGCATAATTCATGTACGGTATCAAATTGGGCTGACGTGTCTCCCATTCCCCTTTTATCTGATTCACCACCAGAGCTGAGTCTCCGTATACATCCAGATTTTTGATTCGCAAGTCAATGGCTTCTTCAAGCCCCATGATACAAGCTTCATATTAGGCTTCATTATTGGTAACCGAAAAGGTCAATCGAGCAGTAAACGGGATGTGCGACGCGTGTGGAGTAGTGATGATTGCCCCTATTCCGCTACCGTAAGCGTTTACAGCTCCGTCAAATATCATCTTCCATTTGGAACCCAATTCTGGTCCTTCGCCTGGCAACGGCTCTTCGCAATCCTTCATCTTTAGGTACATGATGTCCTCATCAGGAAAATCAAACCTCATCGATTGGTAATCTTCAATAGGCTGCTCCGCCAGATACTCAGACAGTACACTCCCCTTTATAGCCTTTTGCGAGACATACTGGATGTCATATTCAGCCAAGACCATCTGCCAACGGGCAATTCTCCCTGATAACGCCTGCTTTTCGAATACATATTTGATAGGATCCATCTTCGAGATGAGCATGGTTGTATGATTCAGCATGTATTGCCTCAAACGCTTGGCGGCCCAGGCTAGCGCGCAACAAGTTTTTTCAAGCATTGAATATCGAGATTCACATTCAGTAAATTTCTTACTCAAGTAATAGATCGCATGCTCTTTTCTTCCTGTCTCGTCGTGTTAACCGAGAACACAACCCATACTTCCCTCAAGAACTGTCAAATACATAATCAAGGGTCTCCCTGCCACTGGGGGTATCAAAATAGGAGGCTCCTGCAAATACTGCTTTATTTTATCGAACGCCTTTTGACAATTTTCGTTCCACGTTACAGCCTGGTCTTTCTTCAACAGCTTGAATAATGGTTCACACGTAGCAGTTAAGTGAGATATGAACCGAGCGATGTAGTTCAACCTCCCTAAAAACCCGGGCACCTCTTTCTCTGTTTTAGGCGTCGGCATCTCTTGTATCGCTTTTATTTTTGCAGGATCAACCTCTATTCCTTTTTCACTCACGATAAACCCCAGCAGTTTACCCGATCTCACCCCGAAGGTGCACTTGTTAGGGTTCAGTCTCAGCCTGAACTTCCTAAGCCTTTTGAATAACTTCAGCAGATTCACCAGATGCTCTTCCTCCGTCTGGGATTTGGCAATCATATCGTCAACATAAACTTCGATCTCCTTATGCATCATATCATGAAAAAGAGTCGTCATTGCACGCTGATACGTTGCCCCAGCATTCTTTAATCCGAAGCGCATCACTTTGTAACAAAATGTTCCCCAAGGCGTAATGAAAGTAGTCTTCTCCATGTCCTCTGGCGCCATTTTAATCTGATTATAGCCCGAGAAGCCATCCAT